TTAGTAATAACATACTGTGTGGGGCTGTGAGAAACCAATTGCTGTATTTCTAAGGAAAATTTGAACAATCAACTTATGTTTGAATTACATGCTGATATAAAAATATTTAAAAAATTGAGAACAGCCTGTGGGGTGGTCAGAAAATACTAAATAAAGCAACATCTGGGGAAAGTTTTCCCATCATATAAAGGCATTAGGTAGGGAAAGTGGTGTGTTTGAGGAACAGTAAGGGCAGCGGGATGAGTTGAGTACAGCAGTAGGACATGAGGTCACAAAGTAGGAGAGGGGAAGATCAGATTATGACTTTGATTTCCAGCAAAGGAGTGCCATGATTGCTTTATAACAGGATCCTTCCAGTTGCCATGTGGAGATAAAACTGCAGGATAGCAAGAACAGGAGCAAGTCTTCCTTGTAGACAGATGATACTGACCTTTGGCCCAAACCCTTCCTTCTCCTTCCCAAATGAGCATCTGGAATAGTTTCAGATAAAAACTTTAGTATTTTTTTTTTCTTTTTGCAGAGATAGGCTCTTTTGCTATATTGCCAGGCTGGTCTAGATCTCCTGGGCTCAAGGAATCCTCCCAAAGTGCTAGGATTATAGGTGTGAGCCACTGTGCCTGGCTGAAAATGTTTTTTCTAACTCATGTGATGACCGAAGAACCAAGAGAGAACCCTAAAGACTACATATTTTCCCTCAAATTATGATAGCTATTTCTACTATCACATTTTGATACCATTTTTGCAGGTTCAGGTACTTGAAGTAACTTAGCATTAGATGAAAAAAGATACCAGAAGATCCATTTGTTTTAGCTTAATAGACATTTATTCCTTTCATTAAACAACATCTACACAAAATCCAAATTAATTTTTTTAGAAAGTAAATTTAGGTCTTAGGTCTCAAATTTTATGAGCCTATTAATATTTTCTGGACATCGATTAACTGAACCTTTTGAAACCCCTAGAGAAAAATTGGTTCAGGAAAACCATCAATTGAATTTTGAAATCAAATTACTCTTAAGTCAGAAAACTCAGAATTTGGAAAAAATGGAGCAACTCCTCTTCTGTATTTCCTTCACACTCCAATTTACCCTGGGAAACATTAGCCTAGTCCACTGAACACATGAAACATAAATGTGCGGAGGCTTAAAGTTAAGCGCTTAAAGTTAACTGATGGCCCAACTTTGGAAAGGCTAAGGATTTTCAGGTATTTTGATCAGAAACAAACTGCAGATATGTAAGGTTAGATTGGAAACCATGAATTTACATGACACCAATCATGTATGACTCTTCCCTGCCTGTAACCTTATGGATTGATTGGGTTGACCCAAGATGATTTGTTAAGAATGGACTGAGAATGACATATTTTTAAGCAGCCAACTATACTTTTACCCCTCATGTAGCTAGAGGTTTTATAATGGTCACAAGTTAGTTAGTGTTACAGGTAAGTATTTAAAAATCTTGAATAAAGGTGACTTTAATTTTCTCACCTCACATTTGAAATGTATTTACCTAATGGCCACTGGCTTGCCAGCTTACAAACATAAGGTTAATGATTCTTATTCGCCTAACATTCAATTTCCATCAGTTTCAAAATACAGTGTAACATCACTACTGTCTATATGTATAGAATCCAGGACTCCAGATTTCATGGAGCCATGGGATTGAATCAGGAGCAGCTTTTATCTCTTATGTTAATTAAATGAGTCAATGAGACTGAGGCAATTTTTAAGTTAACCCAGAGGTTTCATTCGTAAGATAAGCCTCTTGCAACAAGTATATCCAGTTCCAAATATGGTGGCATTTTAAACTTTTCTTTCAGAAACAAATGGAACACTGGACTAAATCTGAAGACGTGGGCTCTACAGAGCTCATATTTTTCTACGTGACCATAGGGTTAGGATATCCTCCTCCTACCCTAAAAATTTCTAAACAAAACCCAATTAAAAAGCCAGCAGAGCATTGCCATCATCCCAGTAAAGCTGTAGGTTTCACCACATGCACCAAACAAATCTACAGGGTAGTTGTAGCACTCCTCTTTTAAAGAATTTATTTTACACCTATTATACCACACAGCATGTTTTAAACACCGACATAAAACTCCCTAATAAGATAAAGCAAAGACAAAAAAAGCTTATCTTATTAGAAACAAGATACACCATCACTTATAGTCTTCAAACATTATTGCACTTTTAACTTCATATTTGACAAAGCATTCATGAAACAATCTGCAGACTAGTTTAACAGACAAATAACACCTTTAAGCAGACATGACCATCCTAAATTGTTTATTAGGTATGAATTTTACAAACATTACTTATTAGCGGTAACGGTGGAGCTGGAGAGTATTGCGCCTTCTCCAAGCTGCACGGCGAGAACCCAATAGTGTGGTGGAACTTATGGCCCTTTCCAAGGCCACGGCTCTTGCGGCCTGCAGATGTCAGCCCACGCATCTCCCTGTGCTTGTGGACCGGTTTCGTGATCCACTGGGTATCAGGATTTCTTCTGATAGCTTTATGGAATGGATCAATGAGGATAACCTCAAAAAATTTGTATGTGGAATCTTCACCAACCCAGTAAGAATTCAGGACTCTTAGAGCCCCACAGTGGCGTCCAGCTCGCTCCTAGAATAAGAAAAAGGCGTAAGGTAAGCCTCCCACATTGCCTAGAGTAGCAAATTAGAATCCCAACTCTTAACTCACCACTATACAAAAGACCGAGGTTTTCACTTAACTATTCAAATATTTATGAAGTATCTCTCCCCAGAAACCGGCACCATTAAGTATGAGATCAACTAGACTTGCTCAAGTAACACACATAAACACACTTTGGATTGAAATACATCATTCTTTCTTATCACTACTCTCCCCTAAGGCATGAATGTTAATATTTGGCTAATAAAATCTAGGATTTGGGGAACTTGGTCTTTTTATAATATTACAACTGAGTGATCAGCAGACTTTTCTATAAAAGTCTTAAGAGACAAGCCATAGTTGGCCAACCCTTACATCAGAACACAACTTAATTTACTAACCCGCAAGAAAATCTGCAACTGCAGAAAACCTGACTACAGACGATTAGCAACACACACAAATACTGCTTCTATCCACTCAGGGAAACATACTGAGACAGTTTACTGCCCTTCAAAAGCTTAAGTTCCACCAGTTCATGCAAATCATAACATACTTTCAGTGTGTACATACATATATATGCACAGATTAACAAAGATGAGAACAGTAACTACTCTTTACCAAGATTAGTAAAGCAAAAATCATAAACCCTACATTATACACATTAAACTCACCTAAGTGCAATGAGAAAAATTGCTTAAATCCTTTTCTTCTCCCACTACCCCCAAGTAGTAGTCAATACAACTGCTATTCAAAACCATTTACCTCGGCAACAGACTGAAGGCTTCGAGCAAACTTTAGCTGGTTAACACCATGATGGACAGGCTTGCCATAAGTTGCACCCTTAGGAACTGGGCGTTTGCGGCCACCGCGGCGCACACGAATCCTATATATGACATAACCTATACACACCAAAAAAATTAGTGGTCTCATAGAAAGCCATACAATTTAAGACTCAATGAATTGTCACTAATGCAACATCAAATACATTCCAGACTGTGACTTAAATACTATCTGATAAAAGATAAAAACCAATAAAATACCAGGTTATGAGACTTACTTAAAAAAACCACACCTGATGTTTTTCAAAGCACTTTACGTCAACCTCAAAGAGATACATTATTTATTTTCCTTTAAGCCAGACTTTCAGATTTGTAATCTTCGACACACCGTTACTTTAGGCAACAGTGTATACAGTCAATGATTAACAAATTGCGCGCCTTGCTAGCACTATTCTGCCAAAACCTTTGCGAAGGGAGCCACTGGGGCGAGTGTTTCTGGCTTTTCTCGAGGAGTACAATTTTATCCAGGCATCCACGTACCTTGCTTGGCCTTGTATCCCAGTCTGCGCGCTTTATCCGGTCGGGTGGGGCGGGGAGCCCTGTGGAGCGCAGAGAGCTGCCGGTATTGCCAGCAGCGGACCCTCAGAAGAAAGCGCATTACATCAGACTGCTTCTTCCTCCACAGCTCCTGGATATACTTGTATGCACCCATCTTGGCTTACCTTTGAAATGAAGCTGGTTATTAATTATCCTCCCTTTGAAACACAACGAGAAGACCCCGTCCATCTTAGTTTACCACCAACCACAAGGAAACCGCTGGAAATGAAAATGGCTCTGCACCAATTGCAGGGAACATGCCCAACCCCCCCACCTCTGCTCCCCCGGAAAGCGGCGTCCAGTCACCTCTGAAACCCCAGCGCAGGGAAGCGCTCAGCACGTTTTTGCTGCACAAACGAGCGGAGACAGACTTGAGCACTTGAGGGGGCGGGTTGCCGCGGCAGACGGCGTCCCCCAAGGGCTGGGCCGCCCTGGAGACGTCGCCAACCCGAGAGGGGAAGGTGCTGCCGCCGAGGGTGACCTCGCAAGGAAAAAGCACTTAGTCCACCCGACCAGCCGGCCTCGCTTTAAGTCGCCCTAGGCGCGGCCTTCCATCCCTCAGCTCCAAGCCTCCTTCAGGCGCCGGGCCCACCTCGAATTCGCGCCGCCATCACCTCTTCCCCCAACCCGCCCCGGGGGCCGCCTCTCCACTCCCTCGCATCTTGACCGAAGTCTCGCCGCACAGGAGGCAGGCGTGGCTTCGAGGACGCAGGGTCCCCGGGCCTGGATGGCTGAGGCTGGGGGTGATCAAAGGCGGATGAGAAAGCAAAGATCTCTCACACAGCCTACCTGATGGCTGCCGCCAGACGGAAAGGAAGGAGCCTTTCTCCCACAATCCCTTTTGGGCTCCTCCCCCACCTCAGCGCGGCTTCTTCCGGCGGATGCCGCCGCTGCCCAGAGCCTCATGGGACATGTAGTTCCGGTGTTGAGCCAGTGGGCGGAGTTCTGCTGGTTCGGCGCAGCCTCCCCGATTGTCCCGCCCCCGCTCCGCAGGGTTAAGAGTCTGACTAGCAGGGGTATCTGGAGGGGTGAGGGGGTTGGTGGTGAGGCCTCGGCAGGCAAGCGGGCGTCCACGCTTGTCCCGCCACGGGAGTAGGCAAGGTAGGAGCCAGGCTCCAAAGCCGGTGGCTGCGGACCACGGTGGAGCCTTGCAGCCTGCGCGCCGCTGTCTTCGGGGTCTGAGGAGGGTCCAGGTTGGTTTCACGCACTGTCGGCTCTTCACCTGAGGAGTCGTTGCGGGCCCCCCAAACGGCGCTGCCCCCTTCCCGCCCCCACGGAAGGGCTTCGCGGGCCGGGGGGCCGCGCACTGCGTCCCTTCCTCTCTGTTCCGCGGGAAGCCCTGGCGGGCGCCAGCTGCGAAACATTTTGCCCTCAACAGGGTGGGGAGGCGGTGGGTGCGGGCATTTAGTTCCGCGCTTGTTCTGCGTGCAGATTGGTTCCCAGATTTGCTAACGTAAGAACCACAGTTTTGTTTTTTTTTTTTTCCAGAAAAGCAAAATATTTATTTGCCAAGCCTGTTTGGCAGGTGCAAATGTTTTGGGAAGAAATGCCGAGAAAATGCTGGCGTTTTGCGTTGCGTTCTTTAGTGAGAAATAGTTTACTGGCTTTTTTGTGTGTGTGTGTCTCTCTCTCCAGAATATTTTTATTTTTAAAACCGTCATATGGTTTTAATTCCCTTCCAAATTCTACATTTAAATGTGGCCAGGGTTTAAGAGAATCCTGTTTACCTTGTAAATCATTAGCGGTTTTGGCTCCCCCCCCACCCCACTTCATATTTTCCTCTAAAAAAAAAAAAAAAATCACCGCTTTACCCTTGAAAGAGTTCTCATCTGGTTCACTGATTCATTCAGCAAATATTTTTTAAGTGCCCGTTATGTGCCTGGCACTGCCTTATCTGCTGGAGATGCAGCAGCGGAGAACGCAGAAATTCCAGCCTCCTTGGAAACGGGCAGTAAACATATGTAAGCTACGTCTGGTGATAAATGCTGAGGAAACATGCAGGGGAGGGAATGTTGTCCGTGCAATATTGTACGGAATGTTCAGGGCAAGCTTTCTTGGGAAGGTAGCATTTAAGAAAAGACCTCAAGGATAAGAGCTTGGGGATGCGGGTGGGGAGCTGATTTAGGCAGAGGGAAAAGTGCCAAGGCGGGAGCATGCCAGGATTAATAGGGGAACAAAAGGAAACTGCGTGGCTGGAATCCACCATAGGGTAAGGTAGGAAATGATGCCAGAGAGGTGAAGGTTCCTTATATGGGTGTTGGGTTTCAAACTGCCTTAGATTGGAAACCCACTGGAAGGTTTTGAGCAGAAGAGTGACTTCATGTGGCTTACATTTTAAGGGGTAACTTGGATTGCTGCTTTTAGGCTAAAAGGAAAGAAAAGCTGGAAGCCGGAGACCAGTTAGGAGATTGTGTTAGTTTCCCATTGCTACTGTAACAAATTACAGCAAATTTACTGGTTTAAAGCAACACGAGTCTGTTATTTTATATTCTGTAGATCAGAAATCTCACTAGGCTAAAATCGGTGTTAGTAGAGCAGTGTTCCTTTTGGAGGGTACTAGAAGGTACATTTCCTTGCCTTTTCCAGGTTCTAGAGGCTGCCTGTGTTGCTTAGCTCCTGAGAGTTTCCTTCATCTTCACAGCTTCAAATTACTCCCTCTCCCCTCTCCAACACTCCTGTGTCCCTCTTATAAAGATACTTGTAATTACATTGGGCCTACTCGGATATCCGCGGTAATCTTGTCATTTAAAAGTTCTTAAATTAATCGCACCTGCAAAACTCCTTTTTACTATGTGAAGTGACATAAATGTTTTCAGGAGTTCGATATGGACATCTTTGGGAGCCCAGGTGAGAGAAGAATGGTGCTTCACTCAGACATTTCAGTAGTGAAGGAGGTGACACAGCGGTACAGCCTTGGATGTATTTCAAAGGTAGAGGTAACAGGATTTACTGGTGGATCAAATGTAGGATGTGAGAGAAATGAGTTGAAAATGATTGACTACAAAGTTGGGTGAATCACTGGAAAGAAGATTCAGGCAATGAGAATAATCACTGCTAATTTATTGATTAGTTTTGCAGTTTTGTTTCTCAGCAGTTGTACAAGATTTGGATTCGTATTTCCAATTGATTTTGAGATTCCTGAAGACAGATCATTTCTGGTTTTGTCCCCCAGTTTGTCCTTAATGCCTGATATTGTGGTAAACCCTCAGTAAATATTTAGTAAATGAATAAAAGAATGGTAAGCTGGAGTTTGCTTATTACATTTTATTATGTGCAATATTATTTGCAGAGCCCTTTGAATGTGTGTTTATGTAAACTGTATTCATATATGGATGAGTGAAAGTATTACACACTATACATGTTTACATAAGTACATAGTGTAGATGTTTTCCCCATGTGATGATAATTTTTAAAGATTTATAACATCTTTTATGATATTAACAGTGTTTCAGTATTAATATTTTACTAGTTGTATTAAAAAAGTAGTGTTTTACTTATAAAAATAGAATGACCCACTTATATAGAGCAACAGCACTAACAATTTTCAGGAGCTGTTTCTGATGGCTCTTCAAAGAAAATGTTGACAAAGCTCAATGTTTTCCATAGGAATGGACCAGGTCATGTATTTATTCTCTAGCAACATTATTGATTACCCAGGAAAGCAAAGTAATATGTATTTGAGACTGCACTGGATCTTGCCTGTTAAGCACATTCTCTCCACTTCCTTATGTGTAATGTGAGTTACTGCTGTAGAGATCACATGTAGAAAATAAGGTACTTTTGAATGGGTGATGTAATGTTATTCAGAATTTTACATTGGATATTAATTTTTTAAGAATTCATACTTTTTAAAAATTTTTTGAGATAGGGTCTTGCTCTGTTACCCGGGACAGAGTGCAGTGGTATCATCATAGCTCACTGCAACCTCACACTCCTAGGCTCAAACAATCCTCCTGCCTCATCCACCCAAGTAGCTGGGACTACGGGCATACACCACTGTGCCCAGCAAATTTTTCTATTTTTTGTAGAGATGGGGTCTTGCTCTTGTTCAGACTGGAGAATTCATACTTTTTAATTGATGGTAGCAGGTCACTAATCTGCTTTATGTAGTAGTATTGTTTCCCATTTGGAAGACAATCAGGAACCTAGAGTATTTCAGCTGCTTTGATTAATCCCACTTAACCTTCCATATTTGTTTTCCTTTTGATAGTGTAAAATATTTAACCAGGTCTATTTTATCTCTTCCCTTCCTAAAAAAAATCTTCAGTGTTTTGAGCTATCTCTATTCAGTTACTTTTACTGTTTGCCGTTGATGAAGACTTCTCTGGCAGTATTGAAAGAAACTCCCCAATTTATTTATACACACATAGAAATAAAGTTATTTGTATATCAATACAAAATAATATATATTTTTAGCAAACTTTATCCATTAATTCTAACATCAGTGGGTGATGAAAGTACAATTATAGTGTACCACTTTTATTTATTTATTTATGTTTTTAGAGACAGGGTTTTTCTCTGTCACCCAGGGTAGAGTGCAGTGGTGTGATCACAGCTCATTGCAGCTTCTGAACTCCTGGGCTCAAGTGATCCTCCTGCCTGTCTCCTGAGTAGCTGGGACTACAGGTGCGGGCCGCCATGTCTGGCTAACTTTTCTTATTTTTTGTAGAGATGGAGTCTCGCTATGTTGTCCAAGCTGGGTTCGAACACCTGGCCTCCAGTGATCCTCCTGCTTTGGCCTCCCGAAGTGCTAGGATTACAGGTGTGAGCCACTGTACTGGCCTAGTGGGCCACTTTTAAAGTGTATATATTAAAATGACTTCCATAGCTTTGCCCAGTGGCAGTATGGTAGCCAATGAGGTTTATCCGTGGAGCGATTATTGCTAATTAAAAACTTTTCCCAATACCCCTCCATGATGACTTGCAATATAGTCGACATTGGCAATTTTGACGGTTCCTACAGGGAATGAGGAGGAAAAAAAAACTACTTCCAAAGACTCTTTGGAATATTTGACTTCTGAATTTTTCAGAATTCTGTTGGTTTCAGCATTTTTCCAGTTTGCTGCAGTCTCCAGCACTCATATTTGCCTCCCTTTTACAGACAACCTGAGTGCTTTTTCCTTATGGCTGCATGCTTCACTCAGGTACGGTGTGTGCCTGCCCTTTTAAGGCACTCAAGTTTTTTGAAGATTGGCATACTGTGTGATAAAAGGGCATTTTTTCAACCAAACAGGAAGGGGAGAAGAAGTAAGGATTGATAATTTCTTTTTTAGTCATTCCCTCTTGATGGACCAGGATTGATATTTAGAAATTCTACTAGGGCTAAAGACTTTTCAGAGGAAAGGAAAATAACAATAGAAAAATCAGAACTTAGATTCCAACAGCAACCTTTTCTGACAGAATTGTGCTGTTCTGCCATCATTTTTACCATCCTCTGGCAGATTTATTTCTTTTTCAGACTCTTCTCATGTGCCTATATAGCAGGTTCCTTTAAATTGTAATTATTATATTAAAAACCTTGAAAGATTGATTCAATGGTATCATAACTTACGAGGAAATCATGATATGCTGGGAGAGTAGAATCCTATGATAAAGGAGGTGACATTAATCATAAATTCAGAGATAGGTGTAGAAAACCCTTTAAAATAGGCCATAATTATAGATATATGAGATGCCGTATTATATATGATCAATGTTACGTAAAGCTCTGCGCATATAAATAAAAGCTGAGAATTTTTCTATTGCAGTTAAGTTGAAAATATAAAGAAAGTCCCCTAAGAAAAGTGGTTCTCATGGAAGGAAGTGATAAATATTCTTGGAAGATTTTGAAGAATCTGAAACATGCCACCCAGGAAATAATGATTATATAACATAAGCGATGGTTATTTGTCTACTGGTAAAATGCCGTATACTGCTCTGGAAATGAGTGCTATGTTGTTGTTATGCTACAGAAATGGTAGCATTAAATTTTTTGCATCAGCAGATTAGTGGTGTGCATGATTTGGGCCATAAAAAGTTAATTACAGACTTTGAAAATACAGTAGAGAAGACCTTGAGGAAAGTTCATTTGTTGCTTAATGTTTTCAGTATTGGTAAAAAAAAATATGTGTGTGTGTATATATTTCTGTGCAACACACATGCATACAAAAGAACTGTTCTGCCATTATTAAGATGTGTTCTGTATTGAGAGCTAGGTGAGGTGGTTCATGCCTGTGATCCTGGAGCTTTGGGAGGCCAAGGTGGGAGGATTGCTGGAGCCCAGGGGTTCGAGCCAACCTGGGCAACATAGCAAGACCCCATCTCTACAAAAAATTATGATAAAAAATTAGATGGGTGTGGTGGTGCACACCTGTAGTCCCAGCTATTCAAGAGGCTGAGATGGGAGGATCACTTGAGCCCAGGAGTTCGAGGCTGCAGTGAGCTATGATTGTACCACTGCATGCCAGCCAGGGCACCAGAGCAGGACTGTGTCTCTAAAGAAAAAGAAAAAAAAGATGTGTTTTGTATTGACAATTTTTAGTTGTCACAGTACAGTGAGCATATGAGCACAGAAAGATACCCAGCATCTCTTTTGTCAGAATGCTTATTTAAACTTTGTTGTCATAGTTGTTTCTGACTGCAAAGAGTTGTGGCGTCCTTGTTAGCCAGGGTTATGGCATGTTCACTTCTAGGTAAGAAGCACTGGGGGAAGGGAGGAAGTGGTGGGAGATGGCAAAAAGCAACGTAGACATTTGAATTATTTTATCAAATTATTCTGTTGTATTTAATAAGCCTTTTTTCCTTTCTGCCTTAGCTTCTGTTATAGTTGTTTCTGACTGCAAAGAGTTATGGTGTCCCTTTTAGCCAGGGTTATGGCATGTTCACTTTTAAGTAAGAAGAGCATTGGGGGAAAGAAGGAGGTGGTGGGAGATGGCAAAAAGCAATGTAGACATTTGAATTATTTTATCAGATTATTCTGTTGTATTTAATTGCCTTTTTTCCTTTCTGCCTTAGCTTCTGGTACCTTGCCTTCTGGAAAACAAAAGCCTTGAGGAAAATTGAAGGAAATACCACCTGAGCTTGGTCTTCCTTGTATATAAGTTGGGAAGCTAGGAGAGATGAATTTTACTTTTTTTTTTTTTTCTTTGAGACAGAGTCTCACTCTGTCGCCCAGGCTAGAGTGCCATGGCATCAGCCTAGCTCACAGGAACCTCAAACTCCTGGGCTCAAGCAATCCTTCTGCCTCAGCCTCTCGGGTAACTGGGACTACAGGCATGTGCCACCATGCCTGGCTAATTTTTTCTATATATTTTTAATTGTCCAATTAATTTCTTTCTATTTTTAGTAGAGACAGGGTCTCACTCTTGCTCAGGCTGGTTTCCAACTCCTGACCTTGAGCAATCTGCCCGCTGTGGCCTCCTAGAGAGCTAGGGTTACAGGTGTGAGCCACTGCGCCGGGCCTGAATTTTTCTTTTCTTTCCAGTTTAAAGTGCTTGGGCAATTTTTCTAACATTGTCTATTCTTCTTCAAAAAGAAGTATGACTAAGAAAGCCCATGTGACTACCAAAATCCAATTTCTCTCCCAAGAAAAGACTGAGACTAGCATGAATGGCATTAATGTTTCTTTTAAAAATTATGTCCATTCTCTAAAAATTTTATTTTTGCTGGGCACAGTGGCATGTGTCTGTTGTCCCAGCTGTTTGGGAGGCTGAGGTGGGAGTTGAGCCCAGGAGTTTGAATCCAGCCTAGGGAACATAGTGAGACTCTCATCTCTTAAAGGCATGAAGATATATTTTTTTTAAGTGTTTACTTAAATGTTCATTTTTCCAGGTAAATGTTGATGAGTGGGCAATCTCTTTCAAGGATTAATTTAATCTGAGAGTCTATTGCATTCCTATAGATTTAATCAGTATTGAAATATTCTTCATATAAAACGTATTTATTCTTTTTGAAAACAAACGTATTCATATCAATCCATTTATTCTTATGTTTATCTCTGTGAAGATATATAAGAAACTGAGAACACTGATTGCCCTAAGGGAGCAAATGAGAGACTGGGGAATGGGGTTTGGAAGGATATATACCTTATTTTATATGTCCTTTTAAAGACCTTCTATCCTCTTCACAGTGATATCCTGAGAGAAGATGGGGAAGGGCTGCAAGGTTGTTGTTTGTGGATTGTTATCTGTGGGGAAAACTGCAATTTTGGAGCAGCTCCTTTATGGGAATCATACTATTGGTAAGATTATTTTTCTCTAGTTTCTCCCTAGGTTCTGGGAACTGTTAAGGGTCTTTTGTTAGTCATGCTATACTAAAGGTGGTTGATGGTACACAAAAGTGAAGTGTAATCCAAAGGGACCAAAAGAGTCATAGAAGTTAAGAGAGTAAGAGCGGAAAACAAGAGAGAGAGAGAGAAAAAAAATCTTAGTGAAATTCAGAGTGCTTGCTGTAAGTTATAACAGGTAAGAAAAGAAATGGATAGATAGATATGGATATGTATTCCTTTGTATATATGTGGTTTCCTGTGTATTTACATAATGAATGGTCATCTAGGAGTCATACAGTCACTGATTTAAGAATACACTGAGGCCGAGCGAGGTGGCTGACGCCTGTAATCCTAGCACTCTGGGAGGCCCAGGTGGGCGAATTGTTCGAGGTCAGGAGTTCGAAACCAGCTCTGAGCAAGAGCGAGACTCCGTCTCTACTATAAATAGAAAGAAATTAATTGGCCAACTAATATATATATAGAAAAAATTTGCCAGTCATGGTGGCGCATGCCTGTAGTCCCAGCTACCTGGGAGGCTGAGGCAGGAGGATTGCTTGAGCCAGGAGTTTGAGGTTGCTGTGAGCTAGGCTGACGCCATGGCACTCACTCTAGCCTGGGCGACAAAGTGAGACTCTGTCTCAAAAAAAAAAAAGAATACACTGAACCCAGGAGGTGGGGGCTATAGTGAGCTATGCAAGTGCCCATTGCACTCCAGCCTGGGTGACAAATAAAAGAATACATTGAATGATATCTCCTTCTTACTTCAAACATGTCCTTCCAATGCTGCTGTATAGGTTTTTAAAAATGGGAGAAACAGCTGTTTGCTGCAGTATGGCCTAATTTTTTGATTTATCTCAAAATTATTTAATTTATCTCATTCATTTATTCATGTACTGAGTCACATAATTATTAAATATTTGCTATATGTTATAGGCTGTGATGAAGCCTTGTGGGGTTACAGAGGTGAAGAATACAGAATCTATGGATTTAAGGAGGTCATGGTTTAGTAAGGAGGAGACATTATAGGTTAGAATGAAACAAGGTTTGTTAGATAAGTAAATATAGATTGTCAAAGCATTGATCTCTGGCAAGTAGCTTAGAGCACATTTCTAATTTTTATTAACCATAACCATTTTGATGAGCCCTGCTTCTCTTTTAACTTTAACATGTTTAACAATTATGGTTAAATCTATATTTGGTGTTTATTATAATGCTTGTGCCAGCAGTTCTCAAACTTTTTGAGAATCTCTTTACTGGGGACCCCAAACAGCTTTCGTTTATGTAGGTTATAGCTTTGAGTATTTGTTAGTAATTAAAACTGAGGCCAGGCTTGGTGGCTTATACCTGTAATCTTAGCACTCTGGGAGGCCAAGGCAGGAGACCAGCCTGAGCAAGATGGGGGGACCCTGTCTCTACTAAAAATAGAAAAATTAGCCGGATGTGGTGGCATGCACCTGTAGTCCCAGCTACTCAGGATCTTGAGGCAGGAGGATCACTTGAGCTCAGGAGTTTGAGATTGTGGTGAACTACAATGAGACCACTGTACTCTATCCAGGGTGACAGAGTGAGACTCTGTCTCCAAAAAAACTAAAAATTTATTTTAATAAAAACTGAGAAATTTTAAAATTACTATTTTTGTTTTAAAATGACACTGATATTACATGCTAAGATAACATTTTTATGAAAAATATATTTTCAAATAAAAAAATAGAAGACTGGCATTAACTTACATTTCTGAAAATCTAATGTCCAACTTAATAGAAGGCAGCTGGATTCTCATATCTACTTGCTTTTGTAGTTAATTTGTTGTGATATGTTGTTTTAGTTGAAATCTATGAAGAAAATTCAGCCTCACACAGATATGTAGTTGGAAAAGGTAGGAGGAGTACTTTAATAGCCTTTCCAGATAATTGTGGTTATTTTGGTATTTCAGTGAAACTCAACAAGTGATGGTTACTTAAAGGTATTACAGTGTGGAACCTGAAATCATGTATCAGTGAACTTTTTGTACTCTGTTATATTACATTAAAATCTCATTGATAGATCCTGTACTTTATTATTTTATTTTATTTTTATTTTTTTACCTTTTAAATTTGATTTGATTTTACTTTTTTTTTTTTTTTTGAGACAGAGTCTCACTTTGTTGCCCAGGCTAGAGTGAGTGCCGTGGCGTCAGCCTAGCTCACAGCAACCTCAATCTCCTGGCTCAAGTGCTCCTCCTGCCTAAGCCTCCCAAGTAGCTGGGACTACAGGCATGCACCACCATGCCCGGCTAATATTTTGTATATATATTTTTTAGTTGGTCAATTAATTTCTTTCTATTTTTAGTAGAGATGGGGTCTTGCTCAGGCTGGTTTTGAACTCCTGACCTCGAGCAGTCTGCCCGCCTCGGCCTCCCAGAGTGCTAGGATTACAGGCGTGAGCCACCATGCCCTGCTGATTTTACTTTTTGAGACAGGATCTTATTCTGTTGCCTAGGATGGAGTGCAGTAGCTCGATCATAGCTCACTGCAGCCTTGAACTCCTGGGCTCAAGCCAATCCTGCACTTTATTTTATTTTATTTTTTTTAGATAATGGGCAGGATGAAACAATCCTGCACTTTAAATGGGTCTTTTACCGAAGCATGTTTTTTGGTTTTTTTACACATTATGAATTGCTCATTTGGAAAATACTGGTTCACTGAGATAAGAAGATCTTCCATATCACATTTGTTAATATCACCACCAATCCTCATCATTATTGGGAAGCTATACAAGTTTATGGTAATGGATACAATTCTAATTTTTGCTTGAAAGTTCAAATTTTATCATTGACAACAAAATACTATGGTTATTTTCCTTGAAATGGTAGGCTCCCTTTATTAATTTTTGAGAAAATGTCAAATATTCTGAATAACGATAGTTTTTCTGTCATTCCTTCTTTTTAAAAGCAGTGGCTAGTTCAGCTTGCAAATCAAACACATGAGGTTTTCCTCGAGACAGTTACAATAATTGTATGGACACATGCTTTATGCAGACTTCCCATTTAATCCTGTAGAATATTTAAAAGGTATATACTCAAGGCTTGAGATTTTATAAAATTAGTAATTTTTACTGCTTCATCGAGGACATTCTGGCTTTTTTTTTTAAACTACAAGTACAAACTGGTGAAGAATCTAATGTCTACTAAAACAGTTGGCCACTGCCTTGATTTTGTACAATAGTGCCAGCAGTTTTACCCACCATCGCTTTTTCACCATCAGTACAAATGTCAATACAGTGGAAAAGACAAATGTCTTAGTGGTATTATGAAAATAGTTTTGCCCATGTGGATCCCCTCAAAGCGTCTATAGACCACATTTTGAGAGCTACTGGCATGTGTTAATGCAGTACAGTTGACCTTTGAACAACTCAGCAGTCAGGGGTACCAAACCCCTAACCCTGCATACAGTTTTTGTATAACTTTTGACGCTCCAAAAACTTAACTACTGATAGCCTACTGTTGATCAGAACGCTTAAAGCCAGTAACATTAACAGCTGATTAATACCTTTTGTATGTTGTGTGTATTATATACTGCATTCTTGCAATAAAGTAAGCTAGAGACAAGAAAATTGTACTAAGAAAATCATAAGAAAGAGAGAATATATTTACTATACATTAAGTGGAAATGGAGCATCATAAAGGTCTTTAGCCTCATCCTCATGTTGAGTAGGTCTGAGAAGAGGAAGAGGAGGAGTTGGTCTTACTGTGTCAGTGCAGCAGAGCTGGAAGAAAATCTGTGTTTAAGTGGACCAGCAGAGTTCAAACCTGTGTTATTCAAGGGTCAACTATATTCTCAGCTGAGCAGTATAGTGTACAATAATTCTTTTTTTTTTTTGGAGGCTAATATTTGCTTTATCAGTCTTTTCTTTAGTTTTGTTTATACCTTTTGCTAATCGTTTTCACACAGTCCAAATGTTTTTCAGTTTTCATTGAGGTAATGAAACACCAGATAATCTATTTGTTTCTCTTGGCTATATCCTTCCGGAGCTATCTATTCTTTTATCTACAGCACCACTATCACCATGGAACTTCCCTTTATCTTTGTTCTTGGTTTTGATTTCCTGTTTCCTAGATTCTCTTCTTTTGGTTTACACTCTTTTTTTTTTTTTTTAAATGAAGCATATCTTCTAGTACTTTTCTGGGGTTGAAAAGTTTATACTATGGAACAGGATATTGGGTGATGCAGCCCTCAAAGTGCCCTCTGTGCCTGGCACGTAATCATAATCCTGGGGCTTCTGAATAATTATTTATATATGTATGTATTTATCTATTTCTCCTTGTGATTCCTTTTGTGCTCAATCTGCATTAGGTTCTGTTTTCTGTACCCCATGTCTTCATGTTTCTGTGATCATATGTTAATTTTTTTTTTTTTTGCGAAAATACTTTTTTTTCATATGTTAATTTTGATAGAGGATTTCCTTAAATAGTTTCCTGAGAAAATGTACATGATACATTTTTTGAGGCTTTGCATATTTGAAAATATCTTTATTTTATACTCACATTTGAATTATTTTGATGGGCATAGAACTCTAGGTTGAAAATAGTATTTTTACATGTATGGTTTAATGCACTGGTCCCCAGCCTTTTTGGCACCAGGGACCAGTTTCATGGAAGATAATTTTTCCACGGACCAGGTGGCAAGGGGATGGTTTTGGGATGATTTAAGTACACATTACATTTATTGTGTACTTTATTTCTATTACAAAGTAATGTATAATGAAATAATTATACAACTCACCATAATGCAGAATCAATGGGAGCCTTGAGCTTGTTTTCCTGCAACTAATGCAGTTGCTGATTTGACAGGAGGCGGAGCTTAGGCAGTGATGTGAGCAATGGGGAGCAGCTGTAAATACAGATGAAGCTTCGCTTGCTCACCTTCTGCTAGGTGGCCCGGTTCCTAACAGGCCACAGACCCATACTGGTCCTTGGCCTGGGGGTTGTGAACCACAGGTTTAAGGAATAATTATAAGACAAACCTTATCTAATCTCCACACAGGTCATACAATGGAATATTGAGGGCACACTAGTGGCCCTCCTTGTTCCTTTCTCCAATTGCAACTTACTCCTGCCTTTGACTTTTGGTTAATCATTCCCTTCTTTTCTTTATTACCACATATGTGTGTATCACTAAATGGTATAGTTTATTTTTGCCTGTTATTGATTTTATATGAATGGAATTATACCTTATAAATGCCTCAGTGTCTAGCTTCTTCCTCTCAACATCCATTTTGTTATAGTAGCTGTAGTTGTTTAATTTTCATTGCTGTATAGTGTTCTATCATATAAAAGTACCTCTGTCTCTTCTATCTTGGTGAACATTTGGGTGGTTTCCAGTTTCGAGCTATTAGAAATAATTCTACCATGAATGGTTTTGTACAGGTATCCTGGCTATTTGTCAAATTCTGGAGTGTATATTTAGGAGTGAAATTGCTGGGCATGTATCTTCAACTTTACCAGATTCTGTTGTCTTCTTGCTTCTAGTGCTGCTTTTGAGAATCTGGGCACCATCATGAATCCTGATGCTTTCTTTATGGAAGCTTTTGTAGGCTCTCTTCTTTGTTCCCAATAGCTATGGTTGATTTATTTATTTATTTATTTTTTATTTTAGCGTATTATGGGGGTACAAGTGTTAAGGTTACTTATATTGCCCATGACCCCCTCCCCCTGTTGCTATGGTTTAAATGATAGCGTCCCCTCCAAAATTCATGTTGAAGGATTAACATTCTTACAAAGGGCTTGAGGTGGAAGGGTGTGTGCTCTCTTGCCCTTCTGTCCTTTCCTCCATGTGAGGACACATTCGACCCTTCTGGAGGATGCAGCAACAAGGCACCCTCTTGAAAGTGGAGACTGGGTCCTCACCAGACACCAAACCTGCTTGCACCTTGATCTTGTACTTCCCAGCCTCCAGCACTGTGAGAAATAAATTTCTGTTTGTACATCACTCAGTCTGTGATTTTATTATTATAAAATTATAATTTTATTATAAAATTATTATTATAGCACCACAAATAGACTAAGACACCAGTGTTCTGAAATTTCACAGAATTAGTCTGTTTTCATTTGTTGTAGTGTGCACTCAGTGGATCTTTTCAATATGGATGTGCATATTCTTTAGTTCTGAATTATTGATGTTTCCTCCTCCACCCCTGTTCTCTTCGCTCTTTTGGGAACTCTCTTTTTGGATGCTAGGCCTTCTGGACTTGTCCTCTAATTCTCTTATTTCTCCTCTTCTATTTTTCCATCTCTCAATATTTTTGCTCTACTTTTTAGAAGATTTCTTCATCTTTATTTTCCAGCCCTTCTATTGAGTTTTTATTTCTTAGTATCCTGTCCTTACTTTATGGATGCACTATCTTATTCCTTTGATTTTATGTAGTGTTTTTTTGTTTATTTGTTTTTCTTTTCTTTGTATAGTCTATTTCCTCTACGGTGCTCTTTTTTTTTTTTTTTTTTTTTTGAGAAAAAGTCTCCCTCTGTTGCCCAGGCTAGAGTGCCTAGCTCACAGCAACCTCAAACTCCTGGGCTCAAGGGATCCTCCTGTCTCAGCCTCCCAAATAGCTGGGACTACAGGCATTGCACCATCATGCCTGGCTATTTTTTTCTGTATATTTTTAGTTGTTCAGCTAATTTATTTTTATTTTTAGTAGAGATGGGGTCTCACTCTTACTCAGGCTGGTCTCGAACTCCTGAAAACGATCCACTTGCCTCAGCCTCTTGGAGTGCTAGGATTACAGGCATGAGCCACCATGGCTGGCCTGTTTTTTTTTTTTTTTTAATAATTTTTTTTTTTTGAGACAGTGTGTCACTCCATTGTGAATAGAGTGCTCTTTTCTAATTTTTGGCCTCTATTTTCTTCAGGTGTTTGGTGAATCTTGGTTATCTACTCATAATTAGGAATGGACACCGAAAAAGCAAATTGGAAGCTCTAAGCATATGGCTAGGGTTTATGACTTTGAGCTTCACCAAGGTGATCTGGCTGGCGCATTAGTTGGGGAACCCTAGATGTCACTATGTTTAGGATTTTTTTTCTTTTCCAGTGGCCAGATTCCCCAGTGTGGGGATAAAGGTCCTGGCTGCCAAAGTTTTGGGAGGAGAAAGGGAAGAAAGCTGGGAGAATTCAACATTCAGTATGTGTATGCATGTCACTTAATTACCGTTTTCACTATAGAACTCTATCCTCTATCCTACAGTCCAAACAAACATCCTCTGTTTTACCTTCTCCAGAGGTTGTACCCTTAATCTTTTGCTGATGTGGGAGAGGGGTAGTTGCCCCGCAGTCGGGAGTGGGAGAGGAAATCTAGAGAACTAATGAAAGAGTCATGACTTAAGTTGATCTGTAGAGTAACAAAATATCTGCAGTTCTGAGCTTAATGAGGGAGAATTGGGGGTTGGATAACTTAACTGGCTTTTGGTGGATAAAATATCATATGACAAAACTCTTGGTAGTTTTTGCTTTTAAATTTCTATGTAAGCAAAGGCCAATAAGTTTGTGTCTTAATAAACAGCCTTTAATTTCCTTAAGGCTTAATTTATGATAGGATGATAAAGACACACATACATATGATCAAATTGATGAATAATGTTTCCTTACCAAACCTTAATGTAAAGAGCTATGTTGATAAAAGTAAATTTTTGGTTTTTCATGATCCAATCTATGTCTCATTACATGATTATTCTTTTGACCTAATACTTAAGGAAATTTTATTTAATACTTATGGATATTTCATGTAAGGCATCTGAAACAAATCTTTCTACAGTATTTAGGTTGTTTAGGAAAATTATAACCTGAGTTTTCAAAAAACTATAACATTGTATGATTTTTTTTTTTTTTTTTTGGTATAGGATGTTATCCGTATGACTTTACTTCTGGATATAACTTCATATTTAAATATGAAGGTGGTTACTGGGATTATATCTTACCTATCTTATCATATGCCTCTCCACTACTCATTAAAATTCAAAATATTAATCTTCTCCCCTTAATTCCTTTATTAATAAAGGATTATTGAATATTTGCTGTGTACACAGAATGGTTCCTTTCACTCAAGGAACTTAAATGCATTCTCACATGGAGGCAAAAAAAAAAAAAAGGAACTTAAAGACTAGTTGAAGAGGGAAAACCTGCACAGATGGAATAAAGTGGTAAAATGCATTTTTAAAAGATCAGAGGCAAGAAGGGGACTGAAATTGGGAGACAGTTATGAGCTCAGTCATTCATTCAGCAAACATTTACTAAGGACCTTCTATGTACATAAGTCAATTTGTTAGTCCTCAGAACTACAAAGATAGATTAACCATAGTCCTGGCTCTTGAGTTTACATTTCAGTTGGAGGGGACAGATGTGGAAAGATTGTTACCTGTACAAGGCATGTAGGAACAGAAAGGAGGGAGGGGGATAATTAGGAGAGGGTTCACACCAGGGGTCCTCAAACTTTTTAAACAGAGGGCCAGTTCATTGTCCCTCAGACTGCTGGAGGGCCGTTCGAGAGTGTGGTGCACGTTGCACACATGCACACTGTGGGCCCGGGACAAGTTGGCTGCTAAGCAGGACAGGCAGCAGTGGCAAAAACACCCGAAGGGCTGGATAAATGTCATCGGCGGGTGACATGTGGCCTGAGGGCCGTAGTTTGAGGACGCCTGGTCCACAGAGTTGACATTTCAGCAGTCTTCAAAGGATTAAGAGGTGTTTACCAGGTGTTTACTGAGCTATTGCAGTAAGTAGTGCAGGTGAAGATAACAAGCCAGTGGGAACAGAAGGAGGCAATGGATTAAGCAGATGTTTCAGCAGTAGAGTGGCTTGCTGGTTTGTGGTTAACTTTCTCTCACACTTTCCTTGTTCAAGGAGAACTCTTAGGACTGCCCATGTGAGTGGTTATCAAGGGAAGAAAGCAAGGAGGAACAGGTGTAGGAAGAGAAGACACGTTTGGTTGGTTTGAAGTGCTTGCAGGACATTTGCATCAAAGTGCCCAGTGGGTACGTGGGAATTGAAGACCTGGTGCTCAGGCTCAGACAGACCCTGGAAAAATAGTGGGTGTTCTACAGAAAAAAAAAAAAACAGCAAATTTTCCCCAGGTTTGTTCTTGGCTCTGATGGAAAAGAAAATGGGGCCATTTAGTTATTGAAGCTACTTTTTAAACCAGCCTTTAAGACTCTAATGTTAATAGTAAGTTCTTTGAGTCTTATAATACTTTTCAAAAATATGTAATGGTATGTCTTATTGCCAGATTTTTATTACTTTCATTTTTATACAAAAGAAGTATTTTTAAAAAGAACTTTGTTCACTTACTCTAACAACTGCTTTCCATTTTCCAGAAGTTAGTAAATAGAAATGTGATTATTATGTATGGTACATAGGAAACCTAGAAAGCCAGCTTCTAAAGTACGAGATGAAAATGCTGAATAATTAGCACTGGCTTATCCAAAAAGAGTAATTTCTTTTTAATCCCAGGAATGGTAGACTGTGAAACAATGGAAGATGTGTATATGGCTTCAGTGGAAACAGATCGAGGAGTAAAGGAACAGTTACACCTTTATGACACCAGAGGCCTACAGGAAGGTGTGGAGCTGCCAAAGCATTATTTTTCATTTGCCGATGGCTTTGTTCTTGTGTACAGTGTGAATAACCTTGAATCCTTTCAAAGAGTGGAGCTTCTGAAGAAAGAAATTGATAAGTTCAAAGACAAAAAAGAGGTAAGTGGGTATATTAAAAATGCCAAGTGTGAATTATATCATTTAAATTGTAGCATAGACTTTTGGGTAGTTTAAATATTTTAAAACCATTAAATTCTGAGTACTTGTAAAACCATCATAATTTTTTTCTTAGCCCAGGAAATATAGGACTGACTGAATTCAATCAAGACCAGCATTTGACTTTCTGTCTTTTGCTTATTACATGTACAAGTTGAATTTTAATGACTCCACATCTCAAGTATTACATAGTTCATTGCATGTTGTTTGGGATCACTGTTTCCTTGGGCTTTTTATCCTCTCATTGGCTAAATAGGATTCTTGTCTTCAGCCTTACAAAAAGGGGGGAGGGGACCTAATAAATAATTATTGGATTCAACCCATTTACCACTTAAAAATAAGATCTGCATGCCTTACTATGGTCTGTAAAGACTTAGATGACCTGGCCTGTGCATATCCTTTTCATCTTTATCATTCTTCCCCTCTCTTGTTACAGTGACATTGGTCTACTTTTCTGTTTTTCCAACATGATAATTTTGTTCTCCTGTTAAGTCCTTGTCAATTGCTTTTATTCCCCTACCTGGAACTCGCTTATCTCAAATCTTTCTCCAGATCTTCTCACGGCTAACTCTTCTTCCTCTAGGGAACCATATAATGTATTAGTAGTTAATAGCACTGGCTGGATGTTTTTCACTTATATACCACCCCCACCCCCTCCTTAACCCTTGCTAACCACTAATCTGTTCTTGGTTTCTATAATTTTGTCATTTCAAGGGCATTGTATAAATGGAATCATATATATGTAATCTTTTGAGATTTTTTTTTTTCACTCAGCATAATTCTCTGGAGATTCATTCAAATCCTTGCATGCATTAATAGTTCATTCCTTTTTTATTGCTGAGGTATTCCATGGTAGGTATGTACCCAACTTTGACCATTTATCTGTGGAAGGTCATCTGGGTGTTGTTTTTTATTTTTATTATTTTGAATGCTATTTACTTTGTGAATAGATACAGTTATTCACAAGGTTTCTTCAAAAGATATAAAAAGGAAAGTAATGATACCTCCTCTTCCACCTGTTTCCCATCTTTCCCACCTAAACAGGTAAATGCTGTAATTATTTTCTTGGGTATCCTCCAGATTCTCCCCCCTGTCCCTCAAAACTTGAAAGAATAGTTGAACACCCAAACTTGACACTTAAATCTTGGCATGGCTTCTAGGCTTTTCTGCCTCAGTTTCCATATCTATAAAATGAGGATAATAGTACCTTCCTTATAAGGTCATTTTACCTTGCATAATAATTCAACAAATGCTTATTAATCTACTATGTACCAGGCATTTTTGTTAGGTGCAAGGAATGTAATAATAAACAAAAGAGAGTTCCTATCCCCATACAACTTCTGTTTTGGGACCGGGAGGGGGAGAGATAATAAATATACATTATGAGAATGAGGCTATGTAGAGAAAAGTAAAGCAGGTTGGGGAGTGAGGGCACTATTTTCTGTGGAGTGATCTGGGAAGGCATTCCTGATAAAGTGACTTTTAGCAGAGATTTAAAGGATTTGAAGAGGGAGGGAGCTGAGCTGATGTCTGGAGGAAGACTGTTACAGGTGGAGGGAATAGCTAGTCCAAGGATCTGAGCCAGAAGTTTGCTTGCCATGTTCAGGAAACAGCAGTGAAACCAGGGTGGGTTTGAAGATGTGTTGTAGGAAATGAAGGCAACACTTTGGCTTTCACTTTTAGTGAGCTCAGAAGCCACTGGTTTTGAGCAAAGGAAGGACATGATATAGCTTAAGTTGCAGCTATTTATTTTCATGGTTGGTTTTTAAAAAATTGAATAGGTAATGTTTGCACATGGTTCCAAAAATGAAAATGGTATGTAAAAAGGACTACATTTTCGGGAACCCAGGCCTGTCCAGCATAAAAATACAAAAAACAAAAAACAAACAAACAAAAAGGACTACAGTGAAGTCTGGTTCCCACCACTGGCCTCAAGCATCATGATCCTGTACCTCAAGCATGGTTTTTTAAAAAATATTTTACCCCTCTATTATTTTTAGGGCATCCTTCCAAAGTGGCTTTTTTTTTTTTTGAGAGAAAGATAGGGTATTGCTCTGTTGCCCAGGCTGGAGTGAAGTGGCATGAACATATCTCATTGCAACTTTGAACTCCTGGTCTCAAGCAATCCTCCCTCCCACCTCAGCCTCCCAAGAAGCTAGGACTATAGACAGCTACCACCATACCTAAATTTTAAAAATTTTTTGTAGGGAGGAGGTCTGCCTGTGTTGTCCTGGTTGGCCAGAGTTTCTCTATATAAACATAAGCAAATAGGAGTATATATTGTGTATATTTTTTCAAAATTTTTTTCTCTTTCTTACACCAGGTAGCATTCTGTTCTATACCTGTGTTTTTTTATGTAATGTATTTTGGAGTTGTTTCCATATCATTTCTCAATTTTTTTTTGAAACTTATGCATAATATTCATTATGTGGATGTAGGTGTATCATACTTTAGTTCCAAATTGGACACTTGGGTTATTTCCAGTCTTTACTATTATAAATTGTGTTACAATGAATAATCTCATACACATATTATTTTGTATGTTTTAGGATATAACTATAAAATCAGTCGGTAGAAATGGGGTTCTTGAGTCACAGGGTAAATATATATTGCCAAATTACCTTCCACAGGAATGGTATGAAAATGCCTGTTTCTCCAGTCTTGACATGTGTGTGGTTAAACTTTTGGGTTTTTGTGAATCTATTGGGAGAAAATGGTATTTTAGTAGTTTCATTTTTCTTGATACGGATACGAATGAGGTTGAACATACTTTGGCTGCTGTGTTGACAGTGGACACAAGGTGGGCACAAGGTGGGAAGCAGGGAGTTTGACATTTACAAGTTGGTTAATTGAGCAGAAACCAGCAAAGGAGTCTAAGAAGTGACCAAAGGTTGAGGACTAAGAATTGGCAAATCCTTTAGTACACAGAGGTTTGGACAAAAACAGTTTTAATGAAATAGCAGAATGAAGTCTAATTGGAGTGGATACTAGAGAGAATTGAACACAGGAGACAGCTCTTTGCTACAAGGGAGAACAGAGAGGAGCTGGAGAAGAATGTGGTGTTTGCTTTAGCCCAGGTGCAGTAGCTCACGCCTATAATCCTAGCACTCTGAGAAGCCGAGGCTGAGGATTGCTTGAGCTCAGGAGTTCGAGACCAGCCTGAGCAAGAGTGAGACCCTGTCTCTGCTAAAAACAGTAAAAATTCCCTGGGTGTGGTGGTGCATGCCTGTAGTCCCAGCTACTCGGGAGGCTGAGGCAAGAGGATTGCTTCAGCCGAGGAGTTTGAGGTTGCTATCAGCTAGGCTGACACCATGGCACTCTAGCCTAGGTGACACAGACTGTCTCAAAAAAAAAAAAAGTTTGTTTTATTTAGATGAGATAGCATTGCTGGAATGACATCCCAATCCAGGGTTCTAGAGCAGAGGGAAATAGGCTTGGAAGATGGTAGGTTGTTGGATATAGTAGAAGTATGTGGAAGTTCTCTTCTAACTGGTCATTTTCGTACTGAAATAATATGGTCATCAGGTGAGAGGAAGGTGAGGAAGGAAGGGGAGATGTTGGGGCTTGTAGAAGAGAGCCAAGGTATGAAATGGAGAAAATGTAATATATTTGCTGGAGACCACCAGCTTGTTTGAGGTCAGTGGTATGAATTGGGACCAGCCAGCAGGGTTGTGTTTTTCTCCAGCCATATTCAGCTAAGTGGTGTAGGCACAGAGTCTTGTTAAGAGTTAAAATTCCACAAAGGAGGAGTTTTGCCAGGTGACAATGGTGGGATAATGGGAGCGTGGGAGTGAATAATCTGCATGGAGAGGAACAGAGGACATGAGTGGAGTAGGATAGTGATAGAGGTAGTAGTCAGTGGGGTCATATGTCCTTGTGGAATTGTTGTCCTTTAGAATTGTTGCATTTGGGATTAAGCATGACTGGGAAGGTAAGGTTAGAGTGGGATGATTGAAATTGAAGTCATAGAGGGGAGCAGTTACGGTGTCATGACAAGGGGAGTGAATGGCTGAGGAAAACTGAGAGACCAGGTTACTGGAAGCATCATCTACAAGGCTGGTGAAATCACTAGGAGTGATTTCAGAGTGATTTCCAGAGTGGAGGGTGAGGGGCAGTTAGTAGATACAGCAGATTCATAGAACCAGCCTTCCCTGGGGGTTTTAGGAAAGAGCATTGTTGGAGGCAAGACTGAGGGACAATGAGGACAACTTGACACTGCCCCCTGGCCCTTTCCCAGTGGTAGTGGTAGGAAGGGCATGATGGGGAAAGAAAGCAGGACTGCAAGGCTGAGCAGGGATTCCAGTAGGCAAGAAGGCGAAGGGAACATTCAAAGCAGAGGTGAGAGATTGGGGAGAGGGGAGGTGGATTTTGCTGAATTCTAGGTGGTAATGTAAAAGTTTCTGCAGTTGGGGGGAGAGGGAGATGGAGATCAGAGTAGGGGATGGCTCCTGCTGTGAGATGGAGTCTGAGATTTACCAAGAAAACCTGAATTCGGGGACCTGCTCTTTCATCTTGCCTGCAAAGGATGGCGTTACCTGGAGCATAAGGAGCTCAACTTAAAGGCAGGAACAAAGCCAGTGAGATTCCAAGGTTTTATTAGTTCATTGCTGCTGTGCCTCAGAGGTGCCTTTGACAATTCTTGCTGCCCTTTCTCCACTGTCACATTGTCCTGTTGTCTTTACAGTAACTCTCTGAAAATCTGAATACTATTTCTTCTCGTATCTCCTTACACTTTGTGTCACGACTGCTGTGTTCTGGTCACCTCAAACAGTGCCTAGTGTGTATAATAAGCATTTGTGTAAAATGTTCCTGTTGGCCCATGCATCCAACAGATATTAGCAGGCACTTTTCTAACATTGGGAATAATGTGAACACAACAAAAATTTCTACTCTTGTGGAACTTAGGTCCTAGGGGTGTAGAACTCTCACAGCTCCAGGGTTGTCTCATTTTACTTTGAAGTCCTGTATCACAAATCTCTTAAGCATCAAGTCTAGCCAAACTGAAATGCAGACACATTAAACCAGTATCTGTATCATAGATGTTAATTTCCCATCTACCATTCATATCTGAAGTTTTTTTTTACATTTAATTTGTTTTCACAGTTAGCAAACTGTATAGCATCTGTATTTTTAACAAAATGCACTAAGGAAGAAGTCAGGTGATGTCCTACTATCTTACCATTCTGGTTACATCTAAGAATCAGTTTAATGAAAACAGTTTATTAAAATGGAACAGTTTTCCTAATTTCTCCATTTTGCCTAGGAACTAATGTTGACTATCTTTTAAATCCATTTTCTTTCAGGTAGCCATTGTTGTATTAGGAAACAAAATTGACCTTTCTGAGCAGAGACAAGTGGATGCTGAAGTGGCACAGCAATGGGCAAAAAGTGAGAAAGTGAGACTGTGGGAGGTAACTGTTACTGATCGGAAAACACTGATTGAACCCTTCACTTTATTAGCCAGCAAACTTTCCCAACCCCAGAGCAAATCGAGCTTTCCTTTGCCTGGGAGGAAAAACAAAGGGAACTCTAGCTCTGAGAACTAAAAATCTATAATTCCACAACTGTTGGATAGTGATTGCCTTTAAGTGTTAGTGAACATGGAGTAAGATTAGTATTTAAAATAGGCTATTTGTATCTACCTTAGGTCCTTAACACCTAAGGAAGTTAATGCACGCTAGAGGTCATAATTAAACTATTTGGGCTAAGTTTACTATTGCTTAATATGAAATAATGTATTTTCATTCTCATTGTTTGAAACCTGTCCCTGAAATTTAGCACCTTTGTTATTTATGTTGCACTTGTTCAAACAGTAAAATAAAGCTTGGTTAGTATGCAAACGTACCTATGCATAACTTCTCCCCCAACTCCAAGCTGTTTCAGAAGCTATCATGCTGTGTAACTTTGTGCAAACTTCTTAGCTCAAACATAACTTTTAAAAATGCATTAGTTATCTAATACTGTAGAACTTGTCATTGTGTTCAAATTGGACTAAAAACAGTGAACACTTTGGGTACTAAGTAAGATAAATTTTATGTCGTGGAGATGCTGCTAAATAAAACAAACTCACGATACAGGTTTGCCCCAATTATGTTTAAAATGACTTGAGAGTATGGGTAGTCTAAGTAGGCTCCTTCCACTCAAAAGGCCTTTTTTTCTTCAGCCAGACCCCTGCTGATAATCCAAATACTAGAGGGTAAACTGTTTCTTCTTTCTGTTTGAAAACACACTTAAGGACACTAAGGCTTCCATTTTCCAGGAAGAATCCTGTATCTTCTGGAATAGTTTTGTAGATAATCTAGTTATGTGCAATAAAATATATCATAAAAATACTGGGGTACAGGTGATCCTAACATTAGTTATCAACGTGGCTAACTGTATTTAGCAAGTTGATAGCTTGCTTCCTACCTTTTAAATTAGTTATGCTATTAGTGGTTTCATCTGTAAAAGCACTTAACTATTCAATTTAAATGTGAAGTATGAAATAAGCTATTCAGCAATGAACATTAAAACATCAAATAAATTGTAACATCTTGAATATTTTTAAGCTCAAGTGCTCAGTTCATGAAGTTCAAGCCATGTATAATTCTTTTAAAATTTCTCATCACTCATTAGGCTTGAGCCCAGGAGTTTGAGGCTGCAGTGAGAGCTATGGCAATGCTACTGCACTCTGGTCCAGGTGACAGAGCAAGACCCTGTTTCCAAAAAAATAAAATCAGGTATTAAGTCACCCCCAGCCTTCTTTCCCAGTTATTGATCTTCTAAGCTTCTTTCCCATGTATGTTACACAAATGTCTACATTCATAATTATCTTTAAATAATGTCACCTTACAGTTTGCTTTTCTTCTAATGCAATTTAGATCTGTATTAGTACACAGAGTTACCATATTTTTGAATGTGGTAATGAACATATGGCTACCTGGATGAGTTTCTCTGGAGGAGACAGGAGCAGGGTCATGATATGTGCGTACTTAGGTATTGTCAAGATGCCTGTAAGACGGCTGTACCAATTTATCCATGAGAGATCCCATTTCTCATGCATTTGCCACCACAACACCTGCAAGTTAGCCAAGTGCTTTTAACCACTTCGGTACCGTGCTCACTGGCTGCGAAACCTTGCCCACAGCTGGCACTCAGAGTCTGCACAATAGTTTGTGCTGTGCATTGACGACGAATCCGTTTTGCGTGATGAGGAAAGCTTTTAAAGCACTGAAAGCTTGTTTCACTTTACAGGCAGCTTTACTTGGCTGAGGTTAGAGGACTGCTTGAACTCAGGAGTTCGAGACCAGCCTGAACAAGAGCTAGGCCCTGTCTCTACCAAAAATAGAAAAATTAGCCAGGCATGGTGGCGTGCTCCTATAGTTCCACCTACTCGGGAGAATCACTCGATCCCAGGAGTTTGACGTTGACAAATGACACCATTGCACTCTACCCAGGGTGACAGAGCTAGACTGTCTCAAAAGCAGAAAAGGCAAAAGTGAACACAGCTGCATCAGGTGGTTTTTAATATTGTTTATTAGCACAGTAACAAATGCAGACTTAAGTAGTCCACAACATATAACCAATTCACTGAGTGACTCCTATTCCACGCCTTACAGTTAACAGCTTAAGGTATTTCACTACAGGTTTTCACAAGTCCTGATTCAAACCTTTAATCTTTTAAAGTAGATTGGCATACAAAATAAAATACATTAACTACTCATTTCCTATACGTTGTCTTATAGCCACATGTCCATTTTATATATATGAGATGACAAGTCTCTAAAAACTGTTAAATATCAATGTCCCTTCCAAGAAGAGAAAACAAATTCCTTTTTTTAAACAAGAACGTATGTAGTCTTAGAGGGACTTTACATAAATGGCCATGTGTGTAACCTGTGCAAAATTAAGCTGTTTTAAATTTACAGACTACAAGCAACTGAACCCGAATATCTAAATGTACATTCTTTTCTGTACTACATTTCAGCTAATATTGCAGAACTAATGACAGTTTTAAAAGTTGCTATTGCCAATTCTGTCTACTGTAGCAAGAATACCTTAAGTTACAACAAAATCTTAGGAAATGAGACTGAATAATATCTGTTATAGAAATACCCTACTCTTTACCAACTCCCACCCTCCCCTACCCCTTCAAAATCATAAGCAGCTCTCTGTGACAGACAAATAATCTAAGAATTGTGAAAACCCAATTTATGTAGCATATCTCTTGGTCCACTGTCTGGCCATTCTGTCATGTTCTGCTCTGTTGGTCATATACTGAGTGGCAATACTTCCCACCAACGGGTCAGCTGGAAGAAAAGAACACAGATTACTTTGTAGAAAGGAAAAGAACATTTTAAACTTTCACAAACACATTAGAACATACAACAAAGTATGTGTGATCGATCAAACCCATGTTTGAAATTCCACTTCACCATCCTGGGGTATTTTTTCCTTTTAAACTTAAAAGTTGGAAGAGAGATTCTTACCAAAATAGAACGCTCAAGGCTTTTGTACTGGTCTGGCTTTACCTCCCTAGTTCATTCTATTTCTCTCCCACTACCCAGTTGGAATTTCTTTGCTCTTGAATGTTCAAGGCTGCAAACTACAGTGACCATCCATCCAGCTGTGTTCATATGACCTTTATCTCAATGGCACTGTGAAGTCTTGGGGACTGCTGCAATGTAACACCACTTACCTCTACATTGTTTACCTAGAAAGAGCCAGGTCAAACCTGGATATCCAATTAAGTATAGTGTTTCTCTGAATCTTAAACCAAATACAAAATTTAGTTATTAATCTAGTATATTTTTAAATAAAAGGAAATTAAGTCCCAACAAAATCACAGTTCACTAATCACTATGTTTTTAGTAATGAAAGAACATTTTCAAAATTGAATACCATCTCAGTAACCAACTATGGGGAAAGTGCCAGTGAAACCAACAGGCACAAGTGAGGTTAGTCAGGCAGATGATGAAATTTGGAAGTATGTGGTTTGTTTTAAAAGAACTATATGGGAAATCACACAACAGAGGGAAAAAAAGGAGGGAGAATAACTAAAAAAAATGTAAAAACAGTTGCATTTTTCAACTACAGGATTGAACTTCTCTTGACTAAAAATTTGAGAAACAAATTAGTTTTGTCCTTTGAAAGCTCTTAAACTTGATTTTCTAAAGAGATTTTATTTTTTTATGTAGAAAAGTATTTTTCAGGAGAAAAATAAGGTAAACAATTATTAACCTTTCTGCTTGTTATGAGGAAAATGAAAGAAAAAAAGAATTATTAACCTTACCAGGATTACAGTCTGTAAGCAGTGAGCAGATAGATAGGAGGACTTTAGAAATGGTTAGTGCTGGACTCCAATTATCTTTCAATATATCCAAGCAAATAACACCTTGGCTGTTAATATTACAGTGATAGATTCTTGTCCGAAATGTAACCTGAAAAAATAAGGTAGTGTCAAACAATATTCAAACAGAAAACAATGAAGCTTTTTACTAAATTTTCAATGTAGTGACCCTTAATAATTAAAAACAACCCTCGCCCAGATAGTTTTTAAAAAGATGAATAAAATAAGTAACAGTTTAACTGAAGCTGACAAGAAGATAGGTTAAAGGGCTGTTTAAGGCTGGGCGTGGTAGCTCACGCCTGTAATCCTAGCACTCTGGGATGATAGCTCGAGGTCAGGAGTTTGAGACCAGCCTGAGCAAGAGTGAGACCCCTTCTCTACTAAAAATAGAAATTAGTCGGACATGGTGGCGCATGTCTGTAGTCCCAGCTACTGGGGAGGCTGAGGGCAGAAGAATTGCTTGAGGCCAGGAGTGTGAGGTTGCTGTGAGCTAGGCTGACACCATGGCTCTGTCTCCAAAAAAAAAGGAAGGGGGGGGACCGTTTAATAAATTTCATTAGAAAGTGTTCATTGATACTATCTCAGGGATTGTCAACCTCATCTTGAAAATACTGACAAAAGTTTAATGCTTCCTGAATTCATCTTTAGCAATTTTAATGTTTTAAATATTAACATTTCCAAGTTTGAAAAGCTAATTGTTTGCTGACCTCTTGTGTTAGTAGCTGGTAATACTTACTACATTGCCTTAAAGTAAGCTTCAGAATAAAATACTGAGAATCATAAATTATAATACCTCATAAAAACTGAGGTACAACATCGTGAATACATAAAGACAATTAAAATGCTTAGCTAACAATGACTACATACCCAAAAAGCTGCATAAAATTTGGAGAGAGATCTGTTTCTGCTTTTTGTGACCTTTAGAATCAGACATGTTGTCTACCTAAATCAGAGTCTCCTATAATACACAGTCTCCATGGATGAGGAGCCAGTAATGGGCAAGGGCTACAGCAGTAAACAAATCAGCATAAGCCACATGAGCATAGGTTATTTTGTTTCATTTCCTAATTTTTGTGAAATATACTGAAACACACCAAAGTAAAAATTTCCTGTAACTCTTCCAATTTTTATTCAATTACTTCTTGCTGCAATTGTACCTACATCTAGCAGTCTACCGTATTCTGACAATGAGAATGAGAATCATAGATCATTGAGTGTTGTAACAGATGGGTGATTTGGGCAATCACCCAAAGGTGTATGTCAACACCTGGCCTGGTTCGACACCATTTTTAACTTTTTCTGTAGGCTTACAAATAGGTGGTTAATTCCAGGGTGCTGACAACATAGCATAATTTTAAATCGAAACAAAGCATCTAATCCTACAAAGGTCTCTGCCAGATGAGGCCAGTCAACCAAAAAAAGTGTTCTAATATACTTACATTCATTAGGACATAACAGAAATCTACTAATTTTTGTGATTAAAAATTAAATCTAAAAAAAAATAGAAACCTC